TTGAATGGGCAAAAGATATTGCAATCATATGGGGTTTCACATTGGTCATCTCGAGACACGAAAAAGAAGGAAAGAATAGGTTGTTGAGGTGTGATCGGGGGGAACGTTACAGAAGCCGTGTAGGAAAGGTAGTTAATGCTATTATGAGAAAATCGAAAACTAAATCGACCAACTGCCTTTTTCAGTTAAGAGTCGAATTTGATTCTCAATCAAAAAAATGGTATATCTCGGTTCCTTTAGATGATGAGAAGGGATTTCATAATCATGCGTTGGCTGTTAATCCCGAAGGTCATCGACAGATGAGCGGGCTTAGCGGTCCGTCCAAAAAGATTGTCCGTGATATGACTTCTGCTCAGGCAAGACCGGCATCAATTTTGGCTGCGATTCAGGAGCAAAACCCTGTAGACAATGCTACTTGTAAACAAGTGTACAACTATAGATCTAAAGTGCGGAAAGATGATTTGCAGGGTAGAAATGTGGCTGCCCAACTTCTGAATTTGGCTAAGGCCAACAACTATATATATTACGGATGTTGATCCGGACACACAGGCATTGACACGTGTCTTCATGTCGCATCCTCAATCATCCTGTCTGTTCCGGACATATTACTGGTATGTCGGTATAGACTCCACGTATAATACCAACAGGTATGTTATGTTACTTTATAAATATCAATTTAATGCGAATATTGTTAGTATGTTTGAATAGGTTTTTTGATTCTATGTTGCTTTCATTTTTACAGGTACAAGATGCCATTGGTGGAAATGATTGGAATGACGCCGTGCAATAAGAACTTCTTAATTGCCTATGCAATTATCAAGGACGAGACCGAGTACAGCTATAATTGGGTCCTACAGCGGTTGAGACTTCTGTTACCTTCTGATGTACATCCTACAGCCATTGTCACTGACAGGGAGTTGGGTTTGATTAATCCTATTCGGATGAATTTCCCTCAGTCGGCCCACTTACTTTGCACGTGGCACATCAACAAGGATGTGGAAGATAGGGTGTATCGAATAGCAAAAAATAATAAGCTCTTCGCTCAGAAGTTCACGCACGGCAAGTGGAAGAAGGTTGTCGAGGCGAGCACGTTGGAGAAATACCAAACTGCCGTAGATGATTTGAAGGCTACATACATACAATTTACTGACGTGCTACGCTATGTGGAGCAGACATGGTTAGTCCACAAGGAGAAGTTTGTGAAAGTGTGGACGAACACTTTTTTACATTTCGGCAACACAACGTCGTGTAGGGTGGAGAGTGCCCACTCTACGTTAAAGCGGTGGTTGAACACGTCGACCGGTTCGCTCGACATGGTGTGGGAGAAGATTCACAAGGAGGTTGAGTCTCAAATGACTCAAGTCAGGTATATTCCGTAGGTTATACATATTTACTGTGTTATTATTGTTGGGTTCGATAGTACCGTACGGCCTTTAAGCAGCGGAATTTAAAATTTTTCAAAGTAAGTATTTATCGAATAAATACAACACCCGTACATACTAATTGCGAATTAACTGATCGTCATCTTTAAAACATGCATCACATACAAATTTTGATTTGTTATAATAAAGTAAATACAAATACAAATAAATAGTATTTACCGAGTAGTTCTTGAACTCCTTCAATTTAACCGAAGTGGATTGTGAGAATCGGTTCCCGGTTTGTAACGTCAACGGATTGAGGTTACTCGCTTGAGGAATCCAAGTGTCTTCCCTCTAATCGTATCCACCCTATGAAGCCCGGTTCCGACTACCTTCCTTCGCTAGTAGGAATGTCTCGGTTTTCTCGTATAGGGATATATATATATATATATATATAATTTGGGAATTTCCAAGAACACTTTCTTGAAATATATGAAGAACACTTTCTTCTCTCTTTGAATTTCTCACAAAATCACTTAGCATAATTTGCAAACATTTTGCATCTATTTATACTAAACATTTTAGCATAAAATAATCAATATTTAGTAATATTAAATAAAATCTGATTTTATTTAAAAATCATATTACTAACTATTGACTTTATATATAATAAACAATGTTAAGTAGTTCAAACAACCATCTAACCACCATTTATTATATTCATTTTATTATTTTAATCCTTAAATCATATTTAAAGATAAAAATAATAATATAATAATAAATCTTGAGAATCTATTCCAAGACTTTATTATTATATTCATTTCCCAATTTTCATCCATATTATAATAATCATATTATTATTATTTTGGATTTGAAATTTAAAATCCTATTTTAAAATTCAACTTTATTAATTTAGTAATTACTTTAATTACTAAAGTAATATCCAAAATGTAATTAATCAATCTTATTGATTAATATATTCCTTTAATTGACATCTAATCAAATTAGATATTTATCAATTAATTCTAACCATTAGAAATACAATCTTTACCTTTGTTCATAATTAGTGTGACCTTTTAGGTTCACTATTAATACTAGTAGTGGGTTTACAACACTTTGTAATTTGAGTTAAATCTTATTAACTCTTATTCAAGAATTAACCCCTTAATTCATGAACCCACATATCATGGTAACACCTAGCAAGTATCATGAATCTAGTATTAAGTGAATAGCGAGTAAACCTATTCCGATTACAACTCCATACATGTAAAATCCTTTCGACATCTAATTTCCCGATTAAGTCTTGGGTATGATTTTGTCGAAACCCAAATTGACTTAATAACTATGATTCTATTTCATGTTTATTAACCCGGTTATGAATCACTATTCATCTCTGCCTTGGCCAAGGACTTTGGATTAATAACTATGAAACACATAGGAAATTCACTTATCTTCATAAGTGTCGAATCCTTTATTGGCCACTAACAAACTTCCATACATATTAACATAATACCCAACTTATCCCTTTAAACGATAGTGCTAGCTACCAAAAGGATAAATCAAAGTAGAATGTAATATGCACAAAGTTACCATTGTGCCTCAAGTCTTAGGATTAGTCATGTACTATTGTAACATGAAAATTCTTATTCGACTGAATAAATTCTTCATTAAGAATTTTCATACGGTCATGTTCAGTGAACTTGTTCTCTAACAAGCACCCACATAAATGTACTTACGTCTTACGCTAATGTTGATGGAATGCAACATTCTTGTCCAACAAGCATACAAACTATGTGCAAGTCTTTTATGGATTATTCGATATCCCATCTCGAAACATCCATCGACTTGGAACTGTATTTAAGATCACGGCTTTCAAGGTATGTTCCATGATCACCATCTCTATGCGCAACCATACCTTATAACCATAAGTGATCTAGGGATTTTATCTTAAGTGCAATTATAAGATAAATGCTTTCTCTTAAGATAAAGAAATGCCTTATTCATAATATAATTCCAATAGACTGTATTTACAAGTAGAATACGTCCAATTAGATTGGAACGCCGGGTACCCTACTCTAACAATCTCCCACTTGCCCTAGTTCCAATCACTCATGTATCTAAGACCCATCTTCTCAAGATGTCCTTCGAACACTTTCTGTGATAAGGGTTTAGTTAAGGGGTCTGCTATATTTTCTGCTGAGTCGACTCGCTCCATCACGACATCGCCTCTACCAATGATTTCTCTAATCAAATGGTATCGCCTCATAATGTGTTTGGATTTTTGATGAGATCTTGGCTCCTTTGCTTGCGCAATAGCCCCATTGTTATCACAATAAATCATTATTGGATCAACAACGGATGGTACTACACCCAACCCTTGGATAAAGTTCCTTATCCAAACAGCTTCTTTTGCAGCATCAGATGCAGCAATATATTCAGCCTCTGTCGTAGAGTCAGCAATTGTTTCTTGTTTGGAACTTTTCCAACTAACTGCTGCTCCATTCAGAGTAAATAAGTATCCAGACATGG